ACAGTCGCTGTCCCCAGTGGGGAAACCGAGGCGCAGCAGAGCAAAGTGACTTGCCCAGGGTGGCCCAGCAGGCCAGTGGCAGAGCAGAGTCTGGCTCCCAGGCCATTGCTGCGCGTTGGCTGGCAGGGGGGGGCTCTCTGATTGGGGGGCTCGTCTGTACCCTGCATCGCACCCGCCGCTGCAGGGGGCGATTTGCACCGGGTGGAGGCCGAGCTTGGGGATGGGCAGTCGGGGGGATCCGTGGGTCTCCCTCCCCCATGGGAAAGGCAGTGCTGGACGTGATGGATCTGCCCTCCCCAGGACTTCGGGCTCCGCAGCTTTGATGTGGGGGGGACTCCAGCTTGGAAGGAGGCAGGTTTCCCCAGTGCAAGCAGAGGGCTCCCCCAGGCTGCTGTCAGAGGTGAGGGGGGAACACGGAGGGGTGTAGCCCTGGGGGATCCGTGGGTCTCCCTCCCCCATGGGAAAGGCAGTGCTGGACGTGATGGATCTGCCCTCCCCAGGACTTCGGGCTCCGCAGCTTTGATGTGGGGGGGACTCCAGCTTGGAAGGAGGCAGGTTTCCCCAGTGCAAGCAGAGGGCTCCCCCAGGCTGCTGTCAGAGGTGAGGGGGGAACACGGAGGGGTGTAGCCCTGGCCCTGAACTCTGCCTCACACACACCCTCTCCCTCGCGCCCCCCCCCTGTCTCTCCGCCCCCCCCCCCCAGCAATGCCCCCCGTGCCCGGCGCTGGACGAACACCCCCCCCCCGGCTCCTCTTGGGCCAGACCCTGCCTGCCCCGACTGGTTTTGAGCCTGCTGCAAGAGAGGGTCCCTCTGGGCCACCTCCCTGGGGCCAGGGCCCCGTCTGCCCAGCTGCTGGAGGCGTTGCCGCGGGGGCGCTTGGGGAGGGTTGTGCTGAAAATCCTGGTGCCCCCACAGCCCGCTGGGTCTGGTTCCTTTGCTCCCTGGGCTAAACCGCCTCGCTGCGCCGGCCGGGAGGGGAGATGGGGCTGCCCGGGAGGGGTCCAGCCTCCCGGGGCAGCGGAGCCTAGAGCAGCAGGAACTGGCCGGGGTTATGCGAGTTACGAGATCCCCCAGCCGGCCCGGTCCCCCCATCCCGTGTCAGGTCAATGGACCCACCCACCTGAGCCAACCACCCCCGAGGGCCGACTTCCTGCCCCCGCCGGTGGCCACCACGTGCCCTGCAGGGTGACACGCCCCACGGGGTCTGGTCCCACGCCCGAAGCCCCGACCCTGAGCCCCTGGGGTCTGGTGGGGGGTCGCCCCCCCTTACCTTGTTCTTGACCTCTGCCGACAGCCCGTAGGCCGGTCCCCGGTTGAAGTGCGCGGAGGACATCCTGCCCTGCTGGAGATGGGACCCGCTCGGCGCCCGCTGCCCCTCTGCCGCGTCCTGCCTTTCCCTGCAACTTTTTAAAACTTTTTGTTCTCTGGCTCTTCCCCCTCCGCATGGCCGGGGGGGAGCCCTTCCCATTGGCCGGCCGGCCCGGCCAATCGTGGCCCGCCGGGGACCCTGATGTCAGCCCCTTGGTATTAAGAAATAACGACGTCACTTTTTCCAGCTGGGGCAACTATGCAGAGAACGCCGCGACCTGCCCCCGCCGGGGCGTGCGCCCCCTCTGCCCACCGGCGTGACCGCTCCCTTCCACGCCCTTCCCCCTCCGCTCCTCCCTCCCTGGGCAGGGGGCTGG